GTTATCCAGAGTCTCAGAAATGCCCCTGGCCCTACTCCAGCCCAAACTGTTATCCAGAGTCTGGAAAATGCTCCTGGCCCTGCTCCAACCCAAACTGTTATCCAGAGTCTCAGAAATGCCCCTGGCCCTACTCCAGCCCAAACTGTTATCCAGAGTCTTAGAAATGCTCCTGACCCTACTCCAGCCCAAACTGTTATCCAGAGTCTTAGAAATGCTCCTGGCCCTGCTCCAGCCCAGACCTTTATCCAGAGGCTATGGAATGCTCCTGGCCCTGCTCCAGCCCCAATCCAGGAGCATCCCACTGCCTCTGGATACGGATGTGGGCTGGATCAGGACAGTGGGTTGCTCCTGGCCCTGCACCCACCCAGACCCTTCTCCTTGAAGAATCTGCTCTATCAGGAGACATCCCTACCCATGGCAGGGTGGGCTTGGAATGGGGGCCATCCCAACCCTGTGAGATCCCACAGTTCGGGGGCGTGGGACCCTCGGGAGCGCCGAGGCCGGGCCTGGAGGCGCTGGGGGTGGTGCCAGGTGGTGACCGTGTCTCTCCCCCGGTGTCCCAGTGCACGGTGAAGGCCCTCTACGACTACAAGGCGCAGCGGGAGGACGAGCTGTCGTTCTGCAAGCAGGCCATCATCCACAACGTCGACAAGCAGGACGGCGGCTGGTGAGGACGTCACGCGCACCCACGGGTGTCACCGCGGGCCGGGAGGCGGAGAGGACGCCCCGGGGGGATCCCCCGGATCGTCCCTCAGTGGGTTTTAACCGCCTCCTCCTTCTCTGTCCCCCCCCACCAAATCCCTCCTCCGCCCGGCCCCGCACGCAGCTCGGACGCCCCCGGACCCTTCCCCGAAATCCGTCCACCCGCCTTGACCCTCTGACCCCTTGCAGGTGGCGCGGGGACTACGGGGGCAAGAAGCAGCTCTGGTTCCCGGCCAACTACGTGGAGGAGATCGTGGGCACCCAAGCGCCCGAGCAGGACGAGGCCGTGAGTGCCACCACCCCCATCGGGGACACCGGAGACGGGCCCGGTCCTGCTCCAGCCTAGATCCTTGTCCAGGGGTTGGGAGATGCTCCTGGTCCTGCTCCAGCCCAGATCCCTATCTGGAGTCTGGAGGATGCCCATGGTCCTGCTCCAGCCCAGACCCTTATCCAGAGGCTGTGGGATCCTCCTGGTCCTGCTCCAGCCCGGACCCTTACCCAGAGGCTATGGGATGTTCCTGGCCCTACTCCAATCCAGATCTTTATCCAGAGGTTATGGGATTCTCCTGATCTTCCTCCAACCCAGACCCTTATCCAGAGGCTGTGGGATGCTCCTGGTCCTGCTCCAGCCCGGACCCTTATCCAGAGGCAATGGGATGTTCCTGGCCCTGCTCCAATCCAGATCTTTATCCAGAGGTTATGGGGTTCTCCTGATCTTCCTCCAGCCCAGATCCTTATCCTGAGGCTGCGGGATGCTCCTGGTCCTGCTCCAGCTTGGACCTTTCTTTGGAAGTTGGAGGATACTCCCAGCCTTTTGCCAGCCCAGACCCTTTTCCTGAGGCTGTGGGATGCTCCTGGTCCTGCTCCAGCCAAGACCTTTTTCCAGAGGCTGTGGGATGCCCCTGGCCCTGCTCCAGACCAGACCTTTATCCAGAGTCTGGGAAGTGTTCCTAGCCCTGCTCCAGCCCAGACCCTTATCCAGAGGCTGTGGGATGCTCCTGGCCCTACTCCAGCCCAGACCCTTATCCAGAGTCTGGAAAATGCTCCTGGCCCTGCTCCAACTCAGACCCTTATCCAGAGTCTGGAAAATGCTCCTGGCCCTGCTCCAGTCTACACCCTTATCCAGAGTCTGGAAAATGCTCCTGGCCCTGCTCCAACCCAAACTGTTATCCAGAGTCTCAGAAATGCCCCTGGCCCTACTCCAGCCCAAACCCTTATCCAGAGTCTGGAAAATGCTCCTGGCCCTGCTCCAACCCAAACTGTTATCCAGAGTCTCAGAA